TACGACCGAACCGCATTCATCTGCACCATGACCGAACCTAACCACAACGTTACCCTAGGATCAGAGCTACTCTCGCGTGCCAATTACCGAGCAGATTCGCCGCATACCTCAGGCGCCCTAGCCCTGCACCCACCGTGGGCCAAGTGCATCGCAGAGATGCGCAGAAGGCACGTGGCGCCTTCATCCACCTACCAGCAACCAGACCACGTGGAACTACAAGAGCCAACCGTCTACGAGTCCGAGCCACTACACCAGTGGACTGACGCAGCACGAGTCAGACCAGATCACCGCCAAGGGCCAGCGCCACCAAAGCACGGAGAGCTGACAGCGCCAGCAATGGACAACCCCAAATGGCCACGCACGCTCTACCACTTGGTACCAACGCCCACTCAGGTCCTGCACCCCAGCGACCGCACCACGCGCACCACGCGTAAACCCACCTGCATCCGTCCACACCCAACAATGAAAATGCCCCACTCCGATGGGCCACACTTCATTCCGACTGCCCAATCACATCGTCACCAGATCCGGCTTCAAGCGCCCCGCCGGCACCCCCGCCGACCGTCCGCATGCGCAACAACAGTTGGCGATGCTGCACGACGTAAAAAAAGGACGCGACGAGCTGTTGGACAGGGAACGGCGCGCATGCTCAGGCCACGCCACAATTATACCGCCACAGCAACGCATCTCCAACCTCAACTTCAAGAACATCAAAGACGCGACACAACAAGACCCGACGCCAGCAACGACTACATACCGCCGCCTTTTGCACCAATGCCAGCGCCGCCGACGCAGCCAGCAGCGCCGCAACCCGCGGGGAGGCATGCCTGACTTATTTTGCGACACGACGGGCCCCGACGAACGCATTGACTACAGCGACCTCTGGGCCAAGACGCAAACTGCCACAGACACGCGCGAGTTTTACCTGGCGCCAGCTAAACCAAAACAGTGCCACGACATGCACTGTCCAAGCGGATGGACAGCATACTTCTACCGCGCCAACCACGCCGAAACCGACGGCTACGGAGACGACAGATGGCACTACGCAGTCTTATACCACGAGCAGCCCAACACCTACTCATGGAAACTTCCCAACGACGACCTACTTCTACCTGGATGGCACAGGTACTTAACAACAGCGAGATCTTCGCGCACCCGGACAAAGCTTTATGCCTGCCTCTTCAACCAGATCCACGGGCGACGCCGCTTTCGACATACACGCTACCACCGAAAACAGTAACCAAGCGGCTTAAATTCAAAGGCGTGGCTCAAGCCGACACAGATTTACCCATGCCCAAGTCACCCAAGCACCTGATTCTACCTCTCCATGACAACGACCCACATGCATTCGCGGCCCTCTACCGCAACATCGCATAATTCCGTTTGCAGGTAGTAGCGACCAGTCAGCATTTCCAAACACTTCTGACAGGGGGACATGCGCCACCGAGCCCAGACAATATTGCGGCAATACAAAAGTTGCGCAGTGGCTTAACACTTGTTACAGTGACGACAACCAGATGGAGCGTGACTGGGCAGTCAAAATACGAGACACCGCATCGTTATTTCAACAAAGTTGCAACCCGACCATCGCTGCCATCATCCACGGACCCATTCCATCAGCTGGCAGCGACAGCACTAGCGAGCAGCACACACACACAAACGGCAGACGACAACAACGACAACCGACCTCCAACTCCACCACCCATTGTATCACCACAAAACAAGCGCACCCCACCGACCAAGAAACGGGCACCCACAATGCCCCCTCAGTTGACCGCGCCCGGAGGTCCGACCGACGCAGACGCGCTTGCCGACAGACCAGCTGCACCAACCACACCCCGCAACACCAAGCCAAAACCACAGAAAGCACCAAAACTGACCACCACGCACCCTGCCGCACCACTAGCACCTACACCATCGCCGCCGCAAGACATCACGTTCGTCACTGCGCCAACACCCCAGTCCAACCGACCCATAGCGCCGACGTCGCAGCTCTCATACCACCAACACGCTACCAGACAAAACCACCACCTCTTCCTATTTACGCAGTCAACAAGCCTTGTCAGCTACCAAAAACCACCTACATCATTCCAGACGCGCCGGCACCAAACACACATTATGCCCGCACACGAAGGCTATGTCCAGATGGCCACCTACCACGGGCAAGAAATAATAGCACAGAGCTGGATACTGGAAGTACTTCAGAAATCCATGGCGCTCCAGACATACGCCACGCTACAGGCCCACTTCCCAACCCGCGCAGACCGCGCAATTGCAGTGCACAGCACCTCAGCGAGACACGACGAGCAACGCAACATCATCTTCAACCGCCGCATCAACTTCGCGCGCAGCACAGGCGATCCGATCTTCTTCACCTACATCGACAGGCTTCGTTCACAGCAGACACGATACGAGCGGTTCCTCGACAGCCTCCACAGCAACCACCTTCCAGTAGCACCTTGCAGAGAGCCCCCACCCAAGCCGATGCGGCGACTCTACAAGACACCGCCCGCGCCCAAGCCGAAGAGCCACGACAGCGACGGTCGCAGAGCAGACAAAGGGATGCGCAGGCCGCAAGAAGGGTTCAACGGACGTACAGCAGCATGCCATGACAACCACTACATGCACCAGCAGTGCGCCGACAACCGCAGAACATCGTCTACTGACCTCCTCCCCCCCTCACTTACGGCAGGCAACCTGCCCATGCATAGTTACGCATGTATCGTGTTTGCCATCCCCGCGCGCCTTCGCTGGTGCTGACATTCATTCTCTTGATTGGTTCGACTCGAACCAGGTTCGAGGTTTCTCTTCTGATTCGTTGTGACACGGTCTGGTGGCTGAGCGGGCTATTACGGAAATCGCGACGATTGTGGGTAAGCCGTAAAACTTTCGGGTCGCAGTCCAAGATTGCTAGCTCAGACACTTGGGGGCACCCGTCATACAGGAGGCTCTCCTTTTATACGAACCCAGCAGATCAACGCTAGTATATTGATACACCAGCGCACGGCTTACTCACCATCGACAAGCTTACATTTGGGGCTCCCATCCTACAGGGTGCGACCCCACCTTTTTTTTCGGATGCACACGCGCGCAGATGTTCATGCATCGGCCCAGCGTGCGCACCTACCTTTGGGTTCCCCCGATTTACAGGCGTTGGCCCACTTTTTCTTTGACGGCCCAATGGGCCAATCTTTTGTCAGTTAGGGATCCAGCCCGAGAACTGGGTTACGCGCCAGGCCATAGCCTTTGCATTAGCAGGCCAGCCTACAGAGGCCAGCTTCTACCCTTGCCCCCATCAAGCTGCAGCATTGCTCACCTTGGTCTTCCATTCGCATTTTTAACCGCAGGGTAACAACCCACGAATTGCACAAACGGGCGGAAGGGTCGGGCGGAAGGGTCGGGCGGTAACATCCCACGAATTGAAACCCCTGGCTCAGGTGGTTTTCCCGTGCAGCTGGAGATAAATACATGGTTTCTTAAACGCACTTTCATTTAGCTTGTACCCCCCTACCTGGGGCGCCCCCTGTGCCCTCTCTCTCTCTCTCTCTCTCTCTCTCTCTCTCTCTCTCTCTCTCTCTCTCTCTCTCTCTCTCTCTCGCGCGCTAAAGTTTCGGCCCCGCCCGCCCCCCCCTGGTGGGGGGATAAGCCTCAGTGTTTGTGGTTTTTGATGTTCGCCCCTCGTGCGAGGGGCCCTGCAGGTCATGCGCCCAGGGTTCTCGGCACACAGGGGCATCAGAGATGCCCTCACTGTTGCTTCTGAAGTACTTTGGGGTCTGACGACCCACGCAGTCGCTCTGATGGAAAATGTACTCGTGGACATCTTTGTTATGATTGATCGTTGTGGTCTCCTGTTTTCCTGTAGGCCCCCGCCTGTCCGTCGGACCCCCCCAAGTTCCTCCTGGCTCAGGTGGTTCCCCGTGCAGCTGGAGATAAATCAATGTTTCCCTCGTGCCACTATCGAAGAGGTTCGAAGTGCGGCAGGCAGATTCAGCCAGCGCACGTCATCGACGTTGGACGGCTTTCATCCCAGGCACATAAGTCTGCTAGGCGATGCAGGCCTTGCTACTCTTGCTGTTTTGGATGAAGCGGTAGACTGGCTCGGGCTTTTCCCGCGACATTTTATGTGGATGGTCTTCCCGTTGATTGATAAGCCAGCTGGGGGACATCGTGCAATTTTGTTGCTAGCTAGCTTTGTGAGAGTGTGGGAGAGGCTCTCGCCGACCGCAGCTGGACCCTTTCTTTGAGGCTACGCAGAGGGATTTCTGGGCCTTCGGAGCTGGCAAGGGCGCTGAATATTGCGTGTGGGCTTAGTCAGTTATTTCGGGGGTCGCTCGCGTCAAGGATCAGTTTGTCTTGGGGATTCAGTGGGACGGTAAGAAGTACTATGAGTCCTTCCAACTCGATCTATTGCGGGATCGGGCTTGCAGGCACGGTATCCCGATGGTCGTCGTGAAGAATATGTATAACCGGTGGCGCTGTCCTCGATTGGTCAGATTGGGTCCTGCTTTCCACTCGGTGGCGTTTTTCGCGTGCAGCGGATTACCAGTGGGCGACATCTTTAACGATGCCTTTGTAAAGGTTCGTTCGATGCATTCACGAACAGACACCCAAATATAAGGCACTCATCATACATAGACGATGATGCGTTATTGGCAGTAGGTAGTAAGAGCAGCTTATTACGTAAGGTCCCTGTAGCAGCTGCAGATTTCCATCGAATCTTCAAGCCCGAGCTTAAAGCGGACATATCGGATAGCAAGGCGGTCGCTATCGCGAGCTTGCAGTCGCTAGCTCGGTCGTTAGCACACCAGCTACATGCTAGAGGCCTCCCGAAAGGTACGGTCACATCAACTTCGCTTAATCCTGGGGTGGATTTCTCTCCTGGGAAGCTTCGTTCGGCTAAAGGTGCTCTTCGAAAACGTCGGCAAAGATTTCAGCAGTTTAAGCTTCGTCAGCAGCGCGTCCTTCGGTATCGAAAGAAACTATCGCACGGAAAGCACCGCATGGCGATAATTCACACGGCTGGACTAAAGCCAGCCCTATCCTATGGCAGCGCAGTGTTCGGCATGAGTGATTGCGAGCTCAAGCGGGCCCGAGCTACCTTGCTTAGCTTCAAGTCGCCATCGCATCGAGGGGCCTCGCTCGTGGCCAAGTGCGTGCTCCATGGCGACCCTGTGGCAGATGCGGCTATTGCTCCTGCGGTGCAGTGGGCTGTGGCAATCTGGCAACCGGCGGTCGCGCCAGAGCGCGCCCTCTTTACGCTCGTCGAGCTCGCACAGATGTATGATGCGATTTCTTCTAAACATGTTCCAGGGCAGACATGGAGACAGTCCAGGGGCCCAATGTCCAGGGTGATGTTGAGCTTGAGACGTATTGGCTGGGAAGTGAAGAGTGTTACGGGGTGGGTGGATGACCGAGCCATCGAGCTTTCGCTCCTTTTACGCATCGCCATTTCTCCTTAAGCACCTCATGTGTCAGGCGGCACAGCGCAGTCATGAACGTACGATGGCCAGCTTAGTAGGCTTGCCTGCACATGAGAATGGTAGTCAAGCGCGCGCGTGTGTAGATAGTGTACGCACCATGGCATGTCGATCGAAGAAGTTCAGTGCACGTCAGAAGTATGCTAGGACAAGCTGTTTTACGAAGGCAGCTTTCACGAGCGATCGCCTTCGCGCATTAGGGTATGAGTCTGACGGCCTGTGTCCTTTCTGCGGACAGCAGGACAGCCTCCATCATAGGCTGTGGAGCTGTCGAGCTCGTGAGTGTGTGGAAGCCCGGGAGGCCGCGGCTAGCCTGGAGATAATCGCGGAGGGTTCCCAGGCGGGGCGCGACGATTTATTTTGGACTCGCCTCATCTTCCTGCATCATTCGTGCTATGTTGCTCCGCCTACCGATCAGCTGTATCCTACAATGCAGACTGCGACTGGCGAGCCACTCGTCGACTACTCGATTTTGAGTACTGCGTCTGATGTCGTCGTCCACGGGTCGTGCACTCGGAGTCCGATTCGAGAGTTGTCGAGGGCCGCCTGCGCAGGAGTGTTTTTGCCGGAGGGGTCAGAGGAAGTGATAGCTAGGTTTAAGGGCCCTGCGCGGCCGTCCCCCCCCCCCCCCCCCCATGCGCCTCAAGCTGCGGAGCAGATGGCCACTGTTGCGCCCGCCTTCGCAGCGCGCGTGCATGTGCAGACGCATTCGGACTGTTTAGGAGCAGTCACGATGCATAATCAGAGTTCGGCCCAAGTGTTGGCTGGACGATAAGAAGGGGATTATGAGCTCGAGGGTGCTGAGTATGTGGGGCACGCGCATCGCGCACCAGCGCATGGGATTTCTGAAGTCATTGATATGCTCCCGCCAGCAGAGCGCAGAATAGGTCGCGCGAATGATATGGCTGATCGGCTTGCAAAGCACGCTCTGGAGATGCACGCGCGGGAGAGCCCAGGGGATCTTGAGCAGCTCGACGCCCTGATTGGCAAGGCCCGTGCAGTGGCTCGTGTGTCGGGGGGCGTTATTCCCCTTTCCCCGTTTGCCCAGTTCCCTGAGAGACCCGAGGTCCCCAGGCCCCGCGAGATAGGCGCAAGGAGATGGCACGCCTGGGCAGCAGTTCTTGGTGCAGCAGGCTCCTTCACCTGTCGCGACTGTCACGCGCGCGTCACAAGTACATGTGCTGAAAAACTTGATATGTCTGGTTGTCCTGGACGCCGGGGTAATTTCGGTTTCCTGAGGGGCCATCAAAAGCTTGAACACTCGCTGGTCGATGCTAGACTGTCGAGTGGCCCGAGTCTAATGTTTTGTAGACTCTGCGGCGCATACAGCAGGGAATCGGCTCAGTCGAAAGTTGGAGCAGGTCTGTGTCGGAAGGATTTGCTCTGCTGCCTCGAAGTGTAGGCTCGGACGGATGACGCGGGGCCTGCGCCCGCGATCTGACCGAGCACCAGGCGTGGCGCTCCATCTCTTAAACGATGTGGACCGGCAGCGGCTGCTCCAGACTCAGCAGCTGCCCCGGCGATCTGTCTTCCTCCCCCAGCCTCGCGTGGACGCCCCTGGCGGGGGGCTTCTCCCAGGGCTGGAGGCCATGCGTTCGAGAGTGGCCGCGAGTGAACAGGCGAACTCTGGTGGATAAACGATTAATGTTCCACCCCTAGCGGGCAAACAAAAACCTTCCTCCCCCTCTTCCTCCTCCTTGTCCTCCTCTTTTTCCTCCTCCTCCTCCTCCGCCTCCTCCTCTTCCTCCCCTCCTCCCTCCTCCTCCTACCTCGTCCGTTGCCTCGATGGCTCCGATAGCGCCGTGCGCGAGATCCGCCTCCTCCCCATCCATCCTCTTCCTCCCCCCCCCCCTCCCTCCTCCTCCCCCCCTCTTTCGGGAGCGTCGCAAAGACGCCCTCCGAGGATAATTCCACGACAACAAAGGCGCCGACACGATGAACAGACACTACGTCGGGGCTCTGGGGACGGAGTCGAAGACGAAATCTCGAGTAACTTAGTCTTCGATGCTCGGGGCATTTTTCTGGCCACCTGCGATCCTTGTGGGATCTTTCGAGAGCCTCAGGGGTGGACGTCTGGCGCAAGAACACGAGCGGAGGAGGAGACGACACGACGCTCCACGGAGTAAACTGCACCCGGTTGGTTTCTACCCCCGCGAGGGGCGTTGCATGATAGGGTGGTTCATTTTGAAACATGGGGTCTCTCGCTTGAGACTTCTAGAAATGCATAGTTAGGGGCGTAAAATTGCGTGGTGGGTGGCGGCGTTTCAAAACGGACTGTCGCTGACGGAGAACATGTGCAAGTGTCTCACGAATGGATGGAGGGCGGTGATTTTAGAGAACGGTGCCTTCGTTTGAATGGCATGCCCGTGTTTTTCCTTACCTAGGCTCTGCCTAGAAGGGTTCTTACTCTCTTTGCTTAAAGGGCCGGGCAATGGAAACCGCCCCGGGCGGTTCCCCCAGTCCCCGCCCCGCGGTTCCCCCAGTCCCCTGGGAGCTTTAGCCTTAGCTTTAGCTTTAGCTAAGCTTTAGCTTTAGCTTTAGCTTTAGCTTTAGCTTAGCTTTAGCTTAGTGTTAGCTTAGCTTTAGCTTAGCTTTAGCTTAGCTTTGGCTTAGCTTTAGCTTTGCTTTAGCTTAGCTTCAGCTTAGTGTTAGCTTAACTTTAGCTTAGCTTTAGCTTAGCTTTAGCTTAGCTTCAGCTTAACTTTAGCTTAGCTTTAGCATGATGTTAGCTTAGCCTTATCTTAGCTTCAGTTTAGCTTTAGCTTAGCTTTAGCTTAGCTGCACCTTAGCTTTAGCTTAGGTTCAGCTGAGTGTTAGCTTAGCTTTAGCTTTGCTTTAGCTTAGCTTTAGCTTCGTGATAGCTTAGCTTTAGCTTTAGCTTTAGCTTAGCTGTAGCTCAGCTTTAGCTTAGCTTTAGCTTAGCTTTAGCTTAGCTGTAGCTTAGCTGTAGCTTAGCTCTAGCTTCGCTTTAACTTAGCTTTAGCTTAGCTTTAGCTTAGCTCTAGCTTAGCTTTAGCTTAGCCTTCGCTTAGTTTTAGCTTAGCTTTCGCTTAGCCTCAGCTTAGCTTCAGCTTAGCTTTAGCTTAGCTTTAGCTTAGCTTTAGCATAGCTTTAGCTTAGCTTTAGCATATATTTAGCTTTAGCACTAGCTTAGCTTTAGCTCAGCTTTAGCTCAACTTTAGCTTAGCTTTAGCTTCGCTTTAGCTTAGCTTTAGCTTTAGCTTAGCTTAGCTTTAGCTTAGTGTTAGTTTAGCCTTAACTTAGCTTTAGCTTAGCTTTAGCTTAGGTTTAGCTTATCTTTAGCTCAGCTTTAGCTTAGCTTTAGCTTAGCTTTAGCTTAGCTTTACTGTTACTACGAATGCTGGTTTCCTAGGGGCTCCAACTCCTAGGTAGGGTCGCACTGGGATAATTTTTGCTCATTTCGAGGTGTGGGGGCGTCTGAATTGAAAGGGAGATGCTCGCAGGGACTCACAGAGAAGGGACTTCGGTCCGGAGGACGCATTGCAGCGTCGACGATGTCACCCCAGACTTGTTGCGGTCCTCTTGCTCCTCCTCCTCCTCCTCCTCCTCCTCCTCCTCCTCCACCTCCCCCTCCCCCTCCCCCTCCTCCTCCCTCGCCTCCTCCGCCGTCGCGTCGGCCCTGAGGGCGTGGTTCCCTGTGTTTCCCGGTGCCCGTCGGTTCCTCGGCGGGCATATCTGTCCTGTGCATCCTCCGCTTCCTGTGCCTCCCTCGCGCCCCTTTCCTCTTCACACTTCTCCTCGCCCTCATCCTTCCCGTGGTTACCCTCCCTGTGTACCCCCCCTTGGCCCCCCCCAAAGAAAGCCGAGGACGAGGAGGATAATGAGAGATATGGCGAGGATGAGGTCTAGAAGCGACAACATGGAGAAGGAAGATGACAAGGACAAGGGGGCGGACCAGGCGCCGGAGGAGCGAGAGGAGTTGGGAAGGAGTAGGGGAGGGAATGAGCTGGGAGGAGGAGGCGGAGGAGGAGGAGGAAGAGGAGGAGGAAGAGGAGGAGGAAGAGGAGGAGGAGGAGGAGGAGGAGGAGGAGGAGGAGGGAGGAGAAGGAGGAGGAGGAGGAGGGATAAGAAGGTGAAGGAGGGGAGGAGGAGGAGGAGGAGGAGGAGGAGGAGGAGGAGGACGAGGACGAGGACGACGAGGACGAGGACGAGGACGAGGACGAGGAGGGAGGCGGAGGAGGAGGAGGAGGAGGAGGAGGAGGAGGAGGAGGAGGAGGAGGAGGAGGAGGAGGGAGGAGGAGGAGGAGGACGACGAGGAGGAGGAGGAGGAGGAGGAGGAGGAGAGGGGGAGGGAGGAGGGGAGGAGGAGGAGGAGGAGGAGGAGGAGGAGGAGGAGGAGGAGGAGGAGGAGGAGGAGGGAGGAGGAGGAGGGAGGAGGGGAGGAGGGAGGAGGAGGAGGGAGGAGGGAGGAGGAGAGGAGGAGGGAGGAGGGAGGAGGGAGGAGGAGGAGGAGGAGGAGGGAGGAGGGAGGAGGAGGAGGAGGAGGAGGGAGAAGAGGAATAGTGGAGGGAGGAGGCGTGGGAAAAGGATGCAAGCGGAGCAACGAAGGGAGACGGGGAATGGAGCAGGAGGGTGGACCCCCCTGAGGCCCCTGTCGTGCACCAGGTGATCCTCCCTCGCCTCCTCCGCTGCGCGCCCCCGCCCGGTAGCCAGGTCCCAGAGGGGCAGGGCGCGGAGCACCACGGCCGCGGTGCCGCGGAGGACCCGCTGGGCGAGTGCGAGTGGGAGGATGCCGAGGCGTGTTCCTCACTGCTCCTCCTCCTCGCCCTCCTCGTCTTTCTCGCCCTCCTGATGGTCCTCTTCGCCTCTTCCTCCTCGTCCTCCTCGTCCTCGTCAGCTTTCTTCTCCTCCTCGTCTTCCTCCTTCTCTCATCCTCCTCCTCCTTATCCTCGTCCTTCTCCTACTCCACCTGAGGGGAGGAGGAGAGGATGAGGGGGAGGAGGAGAGGAATGACGAGCACCTCAGGGATCGAGGGAGGGAGAGAGGGAGGGGAGTCCCCTCCTCCTCCCCCTCGGCGTGGAGTTTTGGGCGGGGCCTCCTCCTCCTGGGACCTCCTGCTCCTCCTCGGCTCAACTCAACTTAGTGCACCCCGGGTGTGGCGTTGTTGGTGCCGAAACTTCCCGGGCCAGGAAGTGGCGGATGTAGGATATGCTGCCCCCACATGGGGGTCCAGCAGTGGGCAAGTGCCCTGCGCCAGGGCCCTGTTCCTCGAAGGCCGGGCCTCGCAGGTGCGAGACATTGTCAGGGGGGGTCGAGAAACCAGCGCCTGCCATGTCCTGCGTCGAAAGATGGAGCACAAGTGCGCCAGGAGCTGTACCTGTCCACGAACGGTTGCACGTTCCTGAGCAACCCTGCGACTCCTCCAGCACCTCCTCCTCCAGCACCTC